AAAGCAATAGCAGAATTTTCATGACCAGGTATTGGTATAATAGCTAAACGACGTTGATTATTAAGGTCATAAGTACCAATTGTATTTGGCCAATTATCTAAATGAAAATATCGACTAACTTCTTCAACACTCGTATTAACAATTGTTGTAAAAAGTTTATATTTAAATTGTACATCACCAGCTGTATGATCATCATGATTATGTGTATGTGCAACGACTAATTCTAAATCTGCTCGTTCTTTTTTATTATTAATACACCAATGAGTAATAAGTGTTTCAACATGTTGTTGAATAGGTAATGAAATAAATGATACAGTTGCACCACTATCAATTAATAATACAGTATCATTACTAAAAAGTAAATACATAAATGGTGCTTCATAATTTATACATTTATTTTCACGTAAAATATATGTATCATTATTAATAGGAAATATATCTAAATCAGGTCGTGTAGCACCTTTATCAAAACAATTCATTGATCCATTTATCCAACTTGTTGGTAATTTTACTGGAAGATAATTTGAATAACCACTAGGGCAAACAAATGGATCATTTAAATGACCGGAAACAATTCCAATTAATATAACAGATAATAAATGTATATTATTCATTGTCAATAGTAAATATGTGCTTGATAATATGAATATAAGCACTACTAATATAGTTGTTGATTATCGACATCTGAATATATTCTCATAGAATATAATGATGGAGCATATTTTCTTTATTCCGATTCATAGTATTTTTTGTTTTTATCTAAGCCAAAATAAATGTTTCATTCAGATTATTGAAGAAAGATAAAATAAATTGATCTTTGCATGATAGGACTATCACTGTAACGTAACACTGCTTAAATATTTAATGAGATCCGAAGCAAAGAATTTATGTAGTTCTTCACGAGTTTTCTTCCTTATTTTTAATACAAAGTGTGAATGTGGGTGAAAAATAAATGTAATACCAACACTCATACCCACCTTCAAATGATAATAAAAAGAACGATCTCGAAAGAAAATTCTTATACTATAAAATGACACATTATTCTCATTCATTTGTAAACGTTTTTTCTTGAAGTAGTCTACATTACAATAAACAATGGCGAACAACGAATCAGTAACATCTGTTCAAACCAATACACAAGCTACTGCTAAACACGTATCAAACTTTTCCGAGAATGCAGTTGAAAACCGACGTATTAACATGCAAAGAATACAAAATGTCCTCCTTATTTGGTTGGACAACAATATTAATAAAAATGATGCTGATTGTGATAATACAATCAAGCAATTGAAACGTGTTGTTAACAATATAAACACATTTACAGATGGTGAAGAATGCATTGAATTTATTCAAACCACCACCAATAACAAAGTATGCATGATTGTCTCCGGGTCACTTGGAAAATACATTGTGCGTCATGTGCATGACATGTTCCAAGTAGACACCATTTTGATTTTTTGTAACAATCAAGAATGGCATAAACAGTGGGCCAAAGAATGGCCTAAAATAAAAGGAGTCTTCACAGATATAACATCAATCTGTGAAGCTCTCAAACAAACTGCTCATCATTGTGAGCAAAATGCCACTTCAATCAGTTTTGTGGCGCCAAACGCGAAATTGGATCAATTAGATCCATCATTTATGTACACTCAGATTTTGAAAGAGATCTTATTCACCATCACCTTCGAAGACAAACATTTCAAAGAATTTATTACCTATTGTCGTGAAGTATTTGTCGAAAATGAGTATGAATTACATAATATTGAAAAATTAGAACGTGACTATCATGATCAAAGGCCTATTTGGTGGTATACTTATCAATCTTTTTTATATTCGATGCTTAATCAATCATTAAGACTAATGGACGTTGATATTATTCTTCGAATGGGGTTCTTTATGAATGATCTACATCGTGATATTCAACGACTTCATTCGGAACAATTTCATGGTGAACAATCTAATAAAACATTTACAGTTTATCGTGGACAATGTCTTTCCAAAGAAGCTTTTACTGAAATGACAAATACTAAAGGTGGACTTCTTTCATTTAATAACTTTTTATCAACTAGTAAAGATCGTGATGTTTCTCTCTTATTTGCACCACAAGTTGCTACAAATCCTGATCTTGTTGGAGTTCTATTTGTTATATCAATTAATCCTACTCATTCAACAACTCCATTTGCTTGTGTTAGTGATGTTAGTTATTTTCATACAGAAGATGAAGTTCTCTTCTCTATGCATACCGTTTTTCGTATTGGAGATATTCATTCAATGGATGGAAATAATCATCTCTATGAAGTGAACTTAGCATTGACCAATAACAACGATGAAGATCTTCGTGCTCTCACTGATCGTATACGACAAGAGACTTTTCCAAATTCGACAGGATGGTACAGATTAGGTGAATTATTAATTAAAATGGGTCAGTTTACCAAAGCTCAAGAAGTGTATGAAGTTTTACTTAATCAAACAACAAATGAGAGTGAGAAGGCACCGATTTATTATCAACTAGGTTGCATCAAATTTAATCAAGGAGAATATCAAGAAGCCCTTTCATCTCATAAAGCAGCTCTTACAATTCGACAACAATTACTTCCTTCGAATCATCTTTATTTGGGAGACTCCTATCATAGAATTGGTATTGTATATTACAGCATGGGTGATTATCCAAAAGCACTTTCTTATTATGAGAAAGCCTTTGCAATTCGACAACAATCATTTCCTCCCAATCATCCTGATTTGTCTCATTCCTATAGCAACATCGGTGGTGTGCATCACAAAATGGGTGATTATTCAAAAGCACTTTCTTATTATGAAAAAGCCCTTGCAATTCGACAACAATCACTTCCTTCTAATCATCCTGATTTAGGTGCTTCTTATAACAACATCGGTTTGGTGTATTACAACATGGGCGATTATCCAAAAGCACTTGCTTATTATGAAACAGCTCTTGTAATCAAACAACAATCACTTCCGTCAAATCATCCTCATCTGGCTATATCCTATAACAACATCGGTTTGGCACATTATAACATGGGTGATTATACAAAAGCACTTTCTTATTATGAGAAAACCCTTGCAATTAATCAACAA